CTTCAGAATTCTTCAGAATTCAGAAATTTTTTATAAGATTTCTGAAGAAGGGTCTAGGCCCGAAACGTCAGCCTTCCTGCTCCTCTGATGCTGCTTGGCCTGCTGTGTTCATCCAGCTCTACACCTTGTTATCTCTATTGCTTCCATGTTCCCTGCTGTTCCCATTGTGAACTCTCCAGTACCAAGATAGTACAATTAGCCAACTTGTTGGCCTGTGAGTGTGAAAATGCTGCAAGCTGCTATGTGAGAGTGACCCAAGGTATTTTCTCAACTTTGCACCTCAATATCTGGATAACTCTACTTCCCAACCCTTGTTCCCAGGCAGGTCCTTTAAAAACACAGATGCAGGGTGCTGAGAATACGACACAGCTTGAAATGATTAGTTTTGTTTTCAAACATTGATTGGCAAGTTTTTATTAACATTTTTGTAAGATTAACAATTCCACTGCCAAGTGTTAATTAAGGAACACCACTTTGTAATTGTTCATCTCTTATTTCACACGCCCTCTGTGTGCAGAGTACAACACAGATGCGTGTCCGTATACTGGAACGTTGCTCCAAGCAAAATATTAAGGGTGTGCCAATGGCAATGGTGAAACGTCACAAGCAGGTGGAGCAACAATGAGTTACAGATCTTGTCTAAGTAATGACCAAAAAACAAAACTGTGCTGAACTATACTCATTCTGTCTGTAACAGAACCAAGAAAGTGTGATTACCAAAAAATGAGAATCTGTTAAAATGTATCGCCACAGACCAGAACTATTCATGTGATAGAGGATTTATTAAGTCAATTGAAACATAAAATCAAGAATTAGGTTATGCTTAAATATCTTTTTTATATACCAGACTGTTGAAATAAAGAATACTACAAACATTGATTCATCGCTCATAATTTCTTATTAATTTTAGCTTAATTATTTACTGTTTCCAGTATATGCAGGTATTGGAAAATATTACTGCTACTACTCTACAAAAAGAAATTCAGCTAAATTGGCAAACAATAAATTGATAATGTTTTGCATACTTTCACTTTTTATACATCATGAAGCATGATCATACAATTTGCAATAGATTTTGGACTAATTTAACATGTGTTCAAAGTTCTATTCTCTGTTCTATCTGCTAGCAAAAAAAAACTTGATCATTATCACAATGCTATGACCTTGAATTATGCATTAAAGCTGTAATATGTCATATGTTTGACCAACACTCTAATATATATATACATACATATAATTACTTTTCATTATTTATGAACATAATGCGTATGGTGAACAGTGAGGCCGTGATCAGAGCTCCAACATATTTTGTCAGTGTGACTTGTCCCCTTCCAAGATTTTCCAGATCTCTACTGTAACACTGAGGGAAGCACTAGGGACTGACCAAATACTTTTCCGCAGTAGCTGGGAAACAGTTGTCATCTTCATCCCCACCTCGATCCCTTCGTGCTTTTCCTCACATCCTGGTATCAATGACACTAGTATAAAATGAACAGGCCTGTTGCCTGTAACCAATTCATAAACTGTTAGTAGGTTCCACAAGATGTAAAAGCAAAATGCGAAAGAACCAAGAGGGCAAACAAATTTATATTATGCAGAAAATAGCAAGCTATCAATCTTTTCTTGTATGGTTATTGTACTCCTTGGGAAACATCTTATAGATTGACTGCACTTTTTCAAATTGGTTTGTGTTATTTTGAACCTATTTGTCCATTCGTTTGTTTGTGGATGTCTTACAATGCCATTTCGCAGTAAATACATGAGTGATAGTCTCCATTAACTGTTATGGCAAAAAAGAAAATGTTCTGTCTGCTACACAGATCAGTGAAATGTGATATGAATTCCCCTGCTAGTGTGATATCAATTACATAGGCCATTTGTCCTAGTACCTAGTGGAATGTATCAAACGACACAGGTAACATGTCAACTGTACATGTTACTTAGCTTAACCAACCCATGGTTGCAAAACTTAGAATAAAATCTCCAACATTTGATGTGATTCTTCTATTGGGTAACGTTCACTGGATAATCCCAAATGTGCAAAGAATTAAACGAGAAATGAATTTAATCAGTCAGGCTTGCAGTGCGATTCAACTGAGTGTGCCAGAAGCTATATTTGCTCGCATACAAGGCCCTGTTCTTTGCAAGCCGAAACAATATGACCACAAATTGTATGTTCTCCATTGAAGAAAGCACCATGGAAGCAAACAATCCCTGCTGAATCTTCAGGGAAAGGTTCTTACTAATCAGTGAATTTGCCTGGTTTGAACTTCATGAGTTAACAGTTCCCAATTCATGTTCATGTTAACCCTAGTCTAAACAATTATCACTTTATTGACATGCTGCATAAATTATTGCTTCCCAACTTAATTGATTTTCTTGCATTTCAGCCCTGGCGAACACAAGACAAAAAACTTTGACTTCATATCTCTTGTGAACAAAATTTATGTACAGATTCATAAGGGCGGTTCTTTACTGAAAGGTCAAGTAGTGAGAATTTGACATTTGCTGTTTCAGGTAGTAATTGGGGTGAATAGCATAGATATACGTAATGGGAATCATAGAATCCCTCCAGTGTGAAAACAGGCCATTCAGCCCATTGCATTCAGACCAAAACTCCTAAGAGCGTCCCACCCAGATCCACTCCCTGTAATCCTGCATTTCCCATGGTTAATCCACCTATCCTGCACATCCATGGACACTATGGACAGTTTAGCATAGCCAATCCACTTACCTTATATGTCTTTGGACTGTAGAAGGAAACAGGAGCACCTGGAGGAAACCCACACAGATACTGGGAGAATGTGCAGACTCCACACAGACAGTTACCCAAGGCTGGAATCGAACCCATGTCCCTGGTCCTGTGAGGGAGCAGTACTAACCACTGAGTCACTGTGCCAGGCAGCAATTTAAGCAAATTGGAGAAAAGGGAAGGGTAATGCTGATAGAATTAGATGGGAAAGGATGGATGGAGGCTCAAGTGAAGCATAAACTCCAGGACAGCCTTGTTGTGCCAAATGGTTTCTATGGTGAATATTCCATTTAACGCGTAAAACCTCTAAGACACTGCCTTTAATTTCAAACTTAATTAAATATACTTCTTAGTTAAAAATTCAGTAGGTTGATACAAAAAAGAATTAGCACAAAATTGTCTTGTTTACAGAAGATGGTCAGAGAACATGCTTTTACAAATCTCTCTGTTGCATTCTGATAACTGAATCTATTATTCCTTCTGTGCATTTGGCCACAGCACATGTGTGTGACTGATTGGACTTGTTTAGTAATGAGAAGTTGAAAAAGAATTGTGTTTTTTAATATGTGGACACTATTGTTTTGTAAAATAGGACGTTTGTCAGTACTGACAGGCATTTCATTAGCAATAATTTGTGAGAGCCATCTGTTACTCATTTGTAATCTGGAGGGAAATAAATTATGGTAGGTGTGTTTAATCACTTAGCTCTTGTCATTAAGACTGCAGCAGAAGTAAGGACCACAGTGTTGTACATGACTTCCTGAATCGTAAGTTATTTTTGGAGCTAGGTCCAATGTTTCACAGAAGCATTTGTTCTGTCATACAAAATATGAAGAAAGACTGTTATTCTGAAATGTATAATCATGTTAGATCAGGGATAGATTGATTTTCAGCATATGCTGAAGGTAAAATGTTTTCAAAATAGTGACTTTGTCAATATTGACCAATGTTCTTGGGCAATCACTTGACAATGGCCAATCAAAGATCAACTACCACAAATGGGACTGAAAACCAGTGGGGAATCAATATTCTAAGAAGAAAAGAGTGAAAAGATGAAAACAAGTTTAAGTTTGCTCATAGTTATTTTTATTTTGAGTAGTAGATCTAAATTACACCACTGTCCAGGATCAATTTGGACTCAAAATACTGCAGTTTTACCTCGGTGGATGTAAGGAAATTATAGATTGCCATATTAAGGTCTGTGACTGAATATTTGATTAAATAGATGAGATCAAGAATGATGCAAAGTAAGAATGAGATATTTAGAGAGGGATATCCTGAAGTTGGAGCCCAGACAGGTAAAGGCACAGAAATTAGTGGTAGAGCAAAGGGACCAGAGAATCCACATGAGGCTGAAGTTGGTGAAGTATAGAGGAATAAGCAGAGGTCAGGCAGATTAGGATAAATTGTCAGGAGAGGAAAGAGAAAGACACAGATGTTTCACAATGTAGAATAATGGGATTAATTTGAGAAGCATATATCATGATGATGTAGCAATGATGTTGGAATCACCTGATTAATTGAAGAGAGCTAGAAGAAGGAGAAGTTCTAACCTTACTTGAAAATACTGTACATCTAGATTGAGCTGTAAATAAATGGTTCTTGCAGAATTTTCTGTAGAGCCCAGTAATATTATATCAGGAGATCAAATTGAATTTGATACTAAGCAACACTTAAAACCCATGATCATATCAGCCAGGGTATTCAGGGAGAAATTCTCCAGCATAAATCTCAGTGATGACCAATATTCGAGAAGTCTCCACCTC